CCTTGGGATCTGCTGGTGTTTGATCCCAGGAACCCCCCTTTGATAGCAAAATCTGTGGATGCTCAAGTCTCATGAAATACAATGGTGTGGTAAAATGGTGTCCCGTATATAAAATGGCAAAAATCGAGGTTTGCTTTTGGGGGTGGGTGGTGGTGGAACATTTTCAAACCCCAGATCAGGGGTACGCAACCTTTTTGAGCCGGGGGCCGGGTTGCTGTCCCTCAGACAATTGGGGGGGCCGAAGCAACAAAAATAAATAAATAGATAAATAAATAAATAAATAAAATACATTTTTTTAAAAAATTAAAAAAATATGCATGCACACTCTCTCAGCCCCAGAAAAGCCATGGCAAACTCCCTGTGGAGATTTTGCCAAGAAAAACCCAAGAACAAGTAATAACAACAATAATCAATATCATCAGGGCGGGCGGCGGCGGCGGCAGGACTGGCCTGGGGCCGGTCCAAAGGCCTTGGGGGGCCGCATCCAGCGCCCGAGCCGCAGGTTGCCTACCCCTGCAAGATGGTGGAATCTGTGGATGCAGAATCCGTAGATACAAAGGGCCGACTGAATAATTAAAGTATCAATAGAATGAAAAGCAATTAAAAGTATGCCCACGAAAACAGAAAAACAACAATATAATACAGTAATATAGATAATACAGCAGTATAGGCAATTCAATAGCCAAACAACAATATGGACAATATAACACTTAGACGATATAGAGAGTACAGTATGCATCACAAGTGTGCATTGTACAAAAGTTAAAATACAAGGAGGCCTTGGTATCTGCTATTGTTTGATTCCAGGACCCATACTGATAACAAAATCTGTGGATGCTCAAATGCCATTAAATACAATGGTAGAGTTAGATGGTGTCCCTTATATAAAATGGCAAAATGAAGGTTTGCTTTTTGGAGTTTATTTTTCTTTGAATATTTTCAAGCCGTGGATGGTAGAATCCGTGGATGCAGAATCTGTGGATACAGAGAGCTCTCTTATAATTAAAGTATTAATAGAATGAAAAGCAATTAAAAGCATGCACATTAAAGCAGAAAACCAACAATACAGTGGCCCCTTGGTATCTACTGGGGGTTAGTTTCGGCACCCCTTTGGATACCAAAATCTCTGCATGCTCAAGTCTCACCAAATGCAATGGCATAGTAAAATGGTGTCCCTTATATAAAAAGGCAAAATCAAGATTTGCTTTTTGGAATTTACATTGCTTTTGAATATTTTCAAGCCATAGATGGTTGAATCCGTGGATAAAGAATCTGACTGTACAATACAGTAATAGAGACAATACAGCAGTATAGGCAACACAGTGGTCCCTTAGTACCTGCTGGAGTTTGGTTCCAGAACGCCCCGTGGATACCGAATAAAGAGTGATAGGATAGATAGAAGGACTAACATAGGAGATATCAAAACACAGGCAGGCTGATAAGGGAAGATGAGAGCCTTCAGCCATCTGATCCACGGAGGAGGAAATTTTGGATTTCAACCTCTTCTTTAGCAGGAACACGTAGAATTGCAAGGTTTTCATTTTGATAGAACTGGTAGTTTCATTCAGAGAGCTTAGCAACCTGCCTTTAGGATCTAGGATTGTCTGCATTTTCTGGCTTAGTAGAAGCTCTGTGGGATTTCCTGCCAACATTTCACTGCTGAAGGATGGCATTCCCATCATAAAGGCAAAAATATGCATCCCATGAGAGTCATGATTCCGGCATCTATAAATATTACATCCATAAATCTTATCAGGGCTGTAATACCATTAATTTTACATTGGAACTTTGTGCTTTGCAAAAATGAAATGATGAGTAATGCAGTGGTTGAAAACATGAATCTGGATTCTGGTTCAAACCATAACTCATCTATGAACCCAATAGGTAGTTTTAGAGGAAATAGCATTTCCTCAGCCTTCCCAATTGCAGGGGGTGGAATGGGGAGGATGATAGATTTAACTAACTGACAGGGCTGTTGGGAATCATACTGAGATGATGTAGACTTTGTGTGGCTTGCAACAATGACAAATTATTATTATTATTATTATTATTATTATTATTATTATTATTATCATCATCATCATCATCATCATCACCATCATCATCCCATCTCTCCTCAAGGCTTGAGACAGGGTACAACATAGATTAAAACACATAAAATCATTTAAACACTATTAAAACACATATTTAATGTGTCCTATGTTTATATGTTTTAATCGTTACTTTAAATGGTTTTATTTGATCTATGTAGCCTGCCTTAAGTCTTAGAAAGGTGGATAACAACAACAACAACAACAACAACAACAACAACAACAACAATAATAGAGAGCCACAGCATAGTGTAGTGGTTTTAGTATTTAAGTATGAATCTGGAAACTAGGATTCAAATTCCACTCAGCCACAAAAGCCCACTGGGTGACCATGGGCAAGTCACACTTTCTCAGCTTCAGAGGGTGGCAATGGCAAACCCCCTTAGAAGAAACTTGCCAAGGAAACCCCATGATAGTTTTACCTTACGGTTGTCATGAATTGGGGATGACTTGAAGGCATACAACAGGAACAACAAGAGATCAATTAAGGCAACCTTCTCTACAACTCCCATCATCCCCAGCCAGCAAGGCCACTGGGTCCCACCATGCTATAGAACTGGATGGTTTGGAGTAAGTTGGAAATGTTGCAACAACATGATTCTGTGACATTCATAGAATTGTCCCCCATAAGGAAGCATTCCATGTCGGGGCTGTGGGCCAGCCTCTGCATCTGCACTGCAGAAATAATCCAGTTTGACATCATCCACAGATTCCACCATCCTTGGCGTGAAAATATTCAAAGGAAAATAAATTCCAAAAAGCAAACCTTGATTTTGCCATTTTATATAAGGGGCACTATCTTACTCTGCCATTGCATTTAATGGCACTTGAACATCCACAGATTTTGGTATCAACAGGGATCCTGGAATGAAACAACTGCAGATACCAAGGCCTCCCTTTATTTGAACTTTTGTACGATGTATACGTACGGCGCATACTGTATTCTCTATATTGTCTAAAGTGTTGTATTGTCTATATTGTTGTTTGCTTGTTGTATTTTCTTTAACTGCCGTGGCTCAGTGCTATGGAATTCTTGGAATTGTAGTTCTGTGGGACATTTAGCCTTCTCTGGCAGAGAGCTCCACTGCCACAATAAACTACAATTCCCAATACTCCATAGTACTGACCCATAGCAATCAAAGTGGTGTATAACTGGATTATTTTTGGAGTGTGTGTATAATGAGGATGGGGGGTATATTTGAGGAGTGAGCCCACCTTCCGCTGCTGAAACACCACTGTGTTTTATTTATTTCAACAGGTCAGAGGCGACTCTGGGAAGCAGTCAAAAGGAGGAAAGCCGTGTGCAAGCGGAAATCCTGGATGAGCAAGGTAAGAGATGCCCTCATGAGGACTAGAAACATACCAAAGTTGTTAAAAACAGGAATTCTGCATTTGTTTTCTTGGACTCAACAAGACAAAGAGGCAGTACATTAATGGATTCCCACTCCCCTCTTTTTTAGTTTCAGAAAAATAACTAATAAATATGAAATACAGCATTGATGGATTACTGCAAATGTATAGTGGTGACGGTTAAAATTAGAAGAGGAAACCCAGCAGGTGGTTTGTCTTTCTCCCTCTTGTCCTCTCTTCTTTACTCCCTCTGGGAACTGCTTTCATGGAGGGTGTAGAAATAATGCAGTTTGACACCACTTTAACTGCCATGGCTCCATACTACAGAATCCTAAGATTTGTACTTTGGCAAGGCACCCACACTCTTTGGCAGAGAAGGCTAAAGGCTTTGTAAAACTAGAAATCCCAGGATTCCACATGATGGAGCTACAGCTCTTCAAGTGAGAGCCTTTGGGGCTGAAGAGCAGTGTATAAATACTCTTAAATAAATAAAATAAATAAACAAGTGGTATCAAAGTGTGTTATTTCTGCAGTGTAGATGCACCCTTCGGAGAAGACATCATGATGTGAAAGTACAGATGTTTCAAAGTTTGGTCTCCAGAGTCCAGTCCAATTCTCAAACCACTACACAATGCTGGATCTCAGATGTGGCATCTACACTGTAGAAATAATTCACTTGACACCACTTTAACTGCCAGGGCTCCATCCTACAGAATCCTGGGATGTGTAATTTGGCGAGGCAACCGCACTCTTTGATAGAAAAGGCTAAATACCTTGGAAAACCACAAATCCCAAGATTCCAAAGGAAGATGCAAGAGCACTTAAAGTGGTGTCAAACTGCATTATTTCTAAGTGTAGATCCACCCGGAGATGATGTAGAAAGAAACCCTCTCATGAGACACCATGGAGCAGTTGTTGAGGTGAGGATGCACAGCCTAACCTCTGGGGCTGATGGAGGGATATAAAGGAATGAAGGCTCCATTCAGTAAGAGATCAAGCAGAGCAACATGAGGAGGTGACCAGCTAGCTACCTTTCCAGGACAATGGTGAATTTGCTCTGGGTTTGACCGTGAATTTTAAAGAATCCCTCCAAGGGGTTGAATCTGTTTAGCCAATATAAGCTTCCAATTCTAGGATTTTAGGATTCTTCCATATTGTGGTGACCAGAACACAGTATCAGATGTGATCAGATGCACAAGTACGACCCACCGAGGGTCCAAAATCTCCCATCCCTCCCGCAGTTGCCCACCCCTGCTGTATGTAGGGTAAAGCAATTTGTAAAGCCATCCACCCACAGCTGCTCTTGCTAACCTCTCTGAACATGGTTGCATGCATCTCCAGGCAAATGCAGCTTCAGCAGACAGACAATCGAACAAGGGACCTTGCAAACCTCCAAGGTTTTAACCAGTGGCCTGGAATAAATGGGGCAAACTCGATGGATGACATGCTTTGGCTAATTGATCGAGCTCTCGGCATTAGCTGCCCTCCACTTCCCAGCTCAAAACAATTAAATGCCTTCCTGTTCTGGTGCTGAAATCTTTTCAATTTATTTTGCTATCCTGCAGCATGGCATAGTGGTTTGAGTGTTGGACTACAACTCTTGGAACCAGAGTTCGATTCGCTGCTCAGCCATGAAACCCACTGGGTGACCTTGAGCAAGTCACACTCTCTCAGCCTTAGAGGAAGGCAGTGGCAAACCTCTGAACAGACCCTGCCAAGCAAACCCCACGATCAGTTTGCCTTAGGGTCACCGCGACTTGCAGGCACACAACAAAAGTTAGAATCCTGCTGGCTCCCTCTTCTGGTAACACCTTTCTAGGAGCAAGTCCTACCTAGGCATTCGTTTTGGACTACACAAAAGTTGCCAAGCTCTGGGGATTCTGGAATATATAGTCCAAAAAAAGTAATGTTGCCAAGCCTTGGTCCTGGGACCAACGGATTCTAGGTTGCAACAAGAGTAATAAGAATTAAGCCCTTATAATTTGGAAATACCTCTTTTCTGCAATGCACCTAACACCATTTTAAAGCAGCAGTGAGCAGAAGGTAGATCAGGCTCTATTACAGGATCCCTTTGGAATCTGAAATAGTCCAAAATTGTCTGCATGGGTGGCTGAGACAGTGACACCTTTGCTCACTGATGGTTCAGCACACACAGACTGTTTCATGCACACAATTATTAAAAATATTATGTATAAAGTTACCTTCAGGCTAAGATATACAAAACATATATTAATTTCATGTTCAGACTTGGTTCCCATCTTCAAGATATCTCATTATATATATGCCAATATTCCAAAATAAATAAATTTTTAAAAATCTGAAATCCAAAACACTTCTGGTCCCAAGCATTTTGGATAAGGGAGACTCAGCTGTAGAATTTTAGCTGATTTGGATTTTAAGCACATTTTTGTACCTGTTTGCATAGGACCTTGGAATCAGGATGA